ATAGGACAATGATTAATAAAACTCATAAGGATGTAGTGCAAATACAAACACGTAATAACAATGTAAAATTAAATTAATTATAAAAGTGGAGACTCACCATGAACCAAAATGTTAAGTAAACCGATAATATTAAAATTTTATATATATAAATAAAATTTTAATTCTACAAAATCACTAGAATTTTAATATTATGGGTTTACTTAACATTTTGGTTCATTGTCAATGACGGTAGCATGACTGAGCAGGTTTATACCTTGTGGGGCAGTGAGGCAGTGGCATGGGGTTGGAGAGGGTGAGGGCAAGAATTGGAGCCTGTTATTTTTTAAACTTGTTACTTGTATTGGAACATGGTTAAAATGTTGTCATAGGGTTAGTGAAATTGTTATGTTCTACCTTTCTGTTGCTGGTTTTATTCATTTTTATACTTAGTGTTTCAGAAACCATATGGCAGTGATTTTTAGGTTTGTTATTAAGAATCTCATACTCTGTAAAATGGATGTTGTCGTGTAAATAAGATTGGGGTGAGTGCTCTTATGCTTATTTATTCAAATTGAAATATTTTTGGTTACATTCATTACATTTAATTTTATAAATGACATTGTAGGAGTCCCCTGTCTCAATCGGAACTTTAATATTCTTGATAAGATTCTGTTTCTTGGTTATTTTAAATCTGACTGATACGTTTTTCTTGTTGACTGTTTTGATTAACTTATTGCAAATGTTGGTAATATTGTGTTTTGTCTAATAACATTATTGTTTATTGTGTCAGTTATTTTAGAATCACATTGTAATTATGCAGACACCTCTTAAGAACTTTGTCAATGAATGTGGGTGGATAGTTGTTTGGTATAATTTGTTGTTTAACCTTTGGGTTGTTTGTGGAATGGAATTTTTGATCTGATAATTTAATAGCCATGAAATAATCGACATACTATTCCAAAATCATGTTGGGCAGGATTCTTCAAAAGGTGCATTGACAATGTGTGTGATGTGGCAATTTCTTTGGTGTACCAATCAGTTTATATCAGTTCTTTTATAATCTTTATGTCTAAAAAATGTATACAATTGATAATTCAAGTTCAGTAGTAAGATTAATGTCAGGTGAATAAGAATTATACATATCAGTAGTAAATAGAAGTTTATCCATGTGAACGTTATAAGAATAACATGTACATACCGTTTGTAAATTTCTGACTTATTTGAGGTATCGAAGTATTCTCAAGTCTCTATGTAACAATTTCAGAAAAGAGGGTACACACTGATCCCCTCAGTACCCTGAAATAGATGGAGTATTTTATCATTAAATCTGAATTCAGAATTATTAAGTGGGAATCTAACAATAATATCCCATTATAACATTATAATGACTTCTGATTCTGTTTTGGTTATAAATACAAAATTGCAAAAATTGTTGCGAGTCTGACCGTAAAGTAGGGAATTCTAATGATCTCCTCATGGGTTATTCTTATGTCTGGTATTAGTTTAAAATATTGAATTAAAACTTCTAAAATTGAATGATGCGGGTTACTTGGAAACACTCATGACATCCTGAGGTCAACATACATGCCTAGTTGGAATGGTAACATTCACAATTTCGTCTCGTAATTGAAAACTATTCTTATGAAATGTGTGTAGGATCTAATTTGAATATTGGTTTCAAAAGTTGTTTCTAAAATTTTTGAAATTGATATTGTTATGTATATAAGGTGCAAATAATCAGTATAATGGGGAAACCATTTTTCTGTACATTAATTGCGTTTCAAAAATACTACTAGGAGATATTCAGGTGAACAGGTGTGGAGCCATGTGGAGGGAAATGACTGAGAACCTCCCCCTCCCATCCCCCCTCCCAGTAGCTATTAATTTTAACTTGTCACAAAACTTTCAAGCAAATAAACTTCTGCCATATAAAACACTTACTGAAAGATTATAGTTTTCGTTCATCTACGGGAGTCTTTTCAGGAAAAGTGGTGAAAAACAGGTAGTAACGAGCATTTGCAAACATCAAAATCCTCCTGCCTTCCCCCAAATGGTTTCTGCATCCACCCCTGTATGCACTGTATGCAATAGTGGGAGTTTTTTGATGTATACTTAATAATGCTAATTATAATTCATATATTGTAGGTTAGCACAGTCCATGACATTTAATGTCTATGCTAAATTAAAAACATTATTTTTGTAGTTCTTCTGATGTTGGAGCCAACCTAACTGAAACATCTTGAAATAAAGAATTGTTTGAATAAACAAACAAATGCTTTGATTGTCAGAAATACGATGAGCTTATAATTTTTAATAATCCAGAACTGGACAATCCTTTCCTTCAATAATGTAAAAGAAAAAAAAATGTTACTGACTATTCAATACTTGTGTTGTGGAATAAATTTCAATAGGAATGAAGACACAATTTTTGAAAAAATATAATTATCATCAGACTCGGATTCTGATGACGTGTCATGTTGCCATTAGTACATTCTGTACATAGATAATGTGTATATGATTGTTTACCAAGTCATATAGGTGATAGAATTGTGTAATTATTGGATCGTTTTTTGCTATTTTTCAATTTTTAGCTCATTGTTTTGGATATTTGCATCATTTTGGTCATTTTTACACATTTTCTTTCCTTTTTGTGTTTTTTGTTAGTAAATGTTCCATGAATTTACAATGAAACATAAAGTATTTATTGTATCTGTTCACGATGAAATTTACTACTGCAGTGGGCTTGTTTCCGAACACTGAAAATAACAAGGATCTTCAGTATCTACCTGCACCTTTCAAAACCAACTGTTGGAGAATTGGAGCTATGGATTACATTTTCTCTTAAAATAAAGTTTTAATATTAAGTATACTTTTATATAAATACATTTTATTTAAAATTGTAAAATTTTATTTTAGTTCATTTTTAAAGAATTTTTTGGTCATCAGAATCTGAATCCTGATTATCATATGTTATACCAGAAGTGCTTTGGAAATTGTTGATAAATTCCTGACTCACAAAGCGAGGAGAATATTTATTGGAGAATTATCATAGTATGAGTGGTATTTATCAGGACTATTCCATTAGTGAAATTATGTTCAACAGAGTTCCAAAATGCGCCAAATATTGAATGGATTATGTTAAAATCGCATGCGACACAGAGATAGATGAATACCGCCACCTAAGAAAGACGAGTCACAATTTATGATGGGCCAGTAGGGAGAAGCGGTAAGAAAAAAACAATTAACATTTTGAGTTACGTATACCGTCCTGATTAGAGCATTTTGTATGTATAGTTACACACTTGGTTTGCATTTCACAAGTGGAAGTGTCAGAATAAATAAGCTCTTTTGAATTTGTTTTGAATAATATAAAATAAATCAAAATTATTGTTGAAATGAAACCTATCTCAAACACAAAATAAAAAAGGGTATGTTCAAATATCTGGAAATGCCCATGTCTAACCTGCAGTTCTTGATATACTTGTCTGATCAATGATATGTTGTCTTGTGTCGATTAGATGCGTTGCTCTAATGTATAAGCGGTAGTTGTTGGGATACCATAATTTACTTGGTTCCATTGCAAGAGTAACTTTTAATTACACCCTCATGTTATATCACTTGAACTCCTATCATATCAAATTATTATTATTATTATTATTATTATTATTATTATTATTATTATTAATTATTCATCGCTTTCACAACTAAAGATGTTATAAATCGGTAGAATTTAAAATTAGTCCCGGTTGCAACCAGCTTCCCAAGGAGCAGATCTAGGGATAGTCGGTTTCTCTACAATTCGCAAAAAGTGGGCTGTTTCCAATAAATTAGTATCTTGCACTTCCCAGTCTTTTGAGTGACCTGGGAGCTTAGCAAAGTTTTTATACAAATTTTGCGGAACAAATCCCAGAGCTTCGATAACTATCGGCACGACCTGTGCTTTTACGTCCCACATACGGTTGATCTCGATTTCCAATATCTTGTATTTAAGACGTATCTTTGCCGCTTGGTTAAGACTTTTCGATCGTAAGCCACAGCCACTTCTACAAATCGACACGATTTTTTTCTTCAAATTCCGGATAACAATATCCGGTTTGTTTGCTGCTATCGTGCGATCCGTTTGAATTTGTTGATCGTACAAAATTGTAAACAGTCCAACAGACGTCACCGCGTTTGACGAGTGTTCGTACCACTTGACTCATGTTTGAAAGTAGGAGGGTGGTACAGATCTGCCAGTGGATGTACTGCTCTTCCTGTCGAGTCTTTTGACGGTATCGGACTTTGCTAGAATTGGCCAAGCTGAGACAATATGATGAATGGTTTCTATTTGTTCCTGGCCAATGCATCATGTATCATCTTGGGAACTTTTGGGAACCACTGTAACATAATGCCTGATAAACGCCTGATGTTGGGCAGCAATTATAACTGCTTCCGATTCTGGCTTCATTCTTTCCCTTTTAAGCCCCGTAAATATTGATTTTTATTGATCTACTCTTTGTCCATTCATTTTAGATACTGTCCATGGAGTGATTTGTCTGCATACGATTTCTTTAACATTTTTTGTGTATCATATTTCATGTTTAGCAGAATCACACGTTCTGTATCTGCATGTCTTGCATAGTTTTCTTCGTAATGCTTCTTGCTACTTACAATGCTTCTGTTTCCAATCCTTCGAATAGACTTCATGACCTGTCTCATTAGTGGGTCATCTTGATGGCAGACTAGATACTTTCCCATCCCGACTATTGCATTGTGCCATGAGATTTTAATTTTTCTTCCTCCTTCCGCACGTGGCACATAAAATCTGTGTACATCAACTCGAGGGTGGGCAACTTGATGGATTGTAAGCAGTTTTCTTTTTTTTTGGGGGGGGGGGGGGAACCAGGATTCGAATTTCTTGCTCGGCCCAGTCCACTAGTCCGCAACTGTACTGTTAAATGTAATAAATTTTAAAATCTTGAAGGGACCCTACCAAACTATGTATAAATGAATTTCATGGATCTGTCTGTTTCACTGTGTAGGAGTTAAAGCCCTCCGTTGCGGCGCACAAGGAGCAGAAGCCAGAAACTACTTGTGGTGACGAAGAGAAGGTAAGAATAACAAGCAATCAATGAACATCACTTTACTCATATATAGTAAATATTATACTATTTGTCGTTTCGTCGTTTTTTCAAGTCTTCTTACAAATAAAATATTGATGATGGACATTTCTTCCTTAATTAAATGTGTTCTATAAAGAGATATTTAGGAAGGTCATTAACAATTAAAAAAGGAGGTGTTAGTAATGCAGAAAACAATATTTTAATATTAAGTAGCTGTTTCCAATAACATGAGAAAGTATGCGCTGTTGTCGCCCCACTGGTTTACTTTCCCGTATATATACGCATATGCGGAGTAATATTTGTTTTTGATATTTTTTGTAATGCACATATGTCACAATATTGCGTGAAAACTACTTAAAGGTTCAAAGAAATCTACTTGACGTCAATAAAAAGTCTAGCGTAATTAGAAGAACGAATTTCACTAGAAGAAAAAATCTCCATCGTCAATATTGTAGTTATGAGGAGACGCCGAGAAAAATTTAAACTTTCGTAACTTTCAAAATTTTAAGTTAACGGTAAACTTCGGATCCCAAGAAGAATATTTTAATCAATTCGTACAACAAATTTGAAAAAAATGTAGCAATTTTTGAGTAAATTTAGAAAAGGCTTGTGTATAGTTATTAGTGTTTGTTGCACAATGTAAATAGTGTTCAGTGTTAGATTAAGTTAGGATGTAAGACAAAGATTTAGATTAGGTCGTAAGTATCTAGTTTGTGAGCTCGGCCGTTAGTGATCAATGTAAATAGAAATTAAGAATAAATATGAATATGTTTATGTGGAAATTAAACTGCAAATTGCAAACATAAATTTTATGTTGTATGCATATTTTTCTGTTAACTGTTCTTGTTTCACTCCCCTAGGGAGTTCATTCCCACAACTGGGAATGATAAGTTTAAATTTCTTTTGACTCTCATATTTTCTTTTAATTTCTGCTTTCTCTCCTACTGGTTTCGCAGTATAGAGAACGTAAAGTAATTCGAAGTGAAGAAAACGTGTGTTTTTCTACAGAAAAACAAAAAAACGCGGTCCGAGTAGCAAACAAATGGATACATCTTAATTCCATATGTAGTATGCACAGGAATATTTTCAAAACAGCAAAAATTAAGACACTTTTTAAAAATAGAAACAAAAATGAAATTCAAAATTACCGACCAATTTCAGGTCAGGTCATTTCATTTGTCAGATTTCTCAAAAATGTTAGAGAGGCTTGTCTATAAGCGAATGGAAATTCCCTCAGGAAAAACGAAGCGTTTTCAGACTCAACACGGGTTTAGAAAATCAAAATCTACGGAAACTGCCATTTTTTCTTTTCTTAAAGATGTTGCTTCATCAATGGACCAAAATGAAGCACCCATTGGAATATTTTTAGATCTTTTTCACCAGAACATCTTGTGGAATTCGTGGTATCGCCCTAGATCGGATAACTTCGTACCTTAAACTTCGATCTCAAAAAGTAGAAATGCCGTACTGACACGAAAATACATTATTTACTTCTCATTCCTATTCTTCTCTTAGGTCCTATCCTCCTTGTTATACGTAAACGTCGTGCCCTCGTAAAAACAACAACAAAAAAAAACAAAAAAAAAACAAACGGAAAAACAATTCTGTTTCCTGATGACACGAGTGTTGAACGAATGAAACATTAAATAAATAGTACAACAACGAAGTTTCAAATTGGTTTTATAACAAATTAATAGTTAACGAAGGAAAAACAGCTTCAATGCATTTTTGCATTTTAAATCAGCATGCTCCATTGAAAATAAACCATTGCAATTAGCTGAGGTTAAGGGAACGAAATTTATAGGTCTCTCAATTCAGTCAAACATAAAATGGAATGCACATAAAACAGAATTAAACCCTAAATTACGATCATTATGTTACGCATTCAGAACTCTTTCAAATTCTGTCAGCCATCATGCAGCTCGTTGCAAATGTGCATTCCCGCCTGAGATATGGCATAATATTCTGGGGGGGGGGGGGGGCTCATCATGTAGTACTCAGAACTTTAGATTGCAAAAGAAAATTATTCGAATGCCATCCGCATGATCCCTGCAAGTCTCTCATCATTGAGCTTGGAATCTTACTGCCTTGCCTATTTATTGACGAGTCCGTAATATTTGTCAAAACTGACTTAACGGTGTGAACATATTTTCATGCAATACTGATATTTATAATTACAACACACGTCGTAGAAATCACGTTCATAAAGTGTCAGTATCAACATCTCACTATTAGAAATCCACATACAATTCATGTTCATTACTTTACAACGCATTGCCAGATGACTTTAAACAATTGAAGTCGGTTCACACATTTAAGTTAAAAGTAAAATCTTTTCTGCTGCATAACTGTTTTTTATACAATTAGAGACTATACTGATTATCAAAAAGGAAAACAAATGTTTATTTTAACAAAACAGTTATATATAATGAATTAGTTTACCTTTGTATTGTACATTTTTTAAAAGACTTAATATGTTTGTAACTAATAATGTACTTCAGCTTCGGGTCAGTGATCCCCATCTTGATCAGGTTTTTGTCCAGTTTCCCTGATCCATTGTTAAATGCTGAGATGGCCCCTTGTTTTGCTTCTGGACGTAAATGTTGCTTCACTATGCGCACGGTTTTTTGAACTCTCCTTTTGCATGTTATGGTAAGAGTAGAGAGAAGGGCGAGTTGCTATTTTGTTGGCAATGCAGAAAAATCATACCTGCAATTCGTTTACCGATGCAAATACGGGAACGAAAATGTCTAGTTTTTTCAAGTATTGCTAATCCCGCGGATTTTTTAAATTTCTTTTTATTTAATTTTAAACTTTTACTCATCTTTCAACTATTTAGAGTTAAAATTATGGAAAAGGATTCTGAAACTCAAGGCAACCTGCGCAAATGATCTTCCCTCATACGTCACATTCAGTTTTTACTGGTTTTTGACTAAATAAATAGATAGAAAATTACTTCCTCTAACACTTCAAGTATACAGAATCCACGTTTCTTGGGTCCTTGATCACGAAAATTTGCTTTACAACAAAAGTCTATGAACGCCTCTGGAGGTTCAACCGTCTGTAGGATTTTGATATTCCCCCATCGGTCTGCCTGGAGTCATCATGACCCCTTGAATTCGGAACAAACATTTTGTTTTTTGGGGGTACTTTACAAAAACCCGCAACATTTTCAAAAATTTCTCTAAAATGGATAATTGTTTTCTTTTTGTTTTCCTCTGATACACCAAAAGGCGTTTAAAGAAATTTGCGTTGATCTCATTTTCGTAGAACTTGAATTTTCGAAAATAGAATAAGTCTTTTTTTTCGTCTTCCTACAACTACAATAATGGAGATATATTTTTTCCCCCTAATGAAAGTCGAAAGTTTGTCTTAAAATATGGTCACGTACAATTTTTGGGAATTACGAGTAGTTTTTCCGTGAAACGTAGGCTAAATTCTATTTTTTTTTAAACTCAAAATTTTTTTGATTTGTTTCCACTCTTTATCAAGTAAAGATAAAGAAAGGGAAGCTGGTCCCATTTTCGGCGAACTGTCTGCAAATGCAAAAACTGTGATTGAAGAATAATTAACATTGCAAAACTACAGTATTGGTGTTAGAGATTTTTTTGTGAAATGACTTATGTTCTAAAAAGAATCAGTTCTGTAAAAAAGGTCATTTACAATATGTTCAAAATAAGAGTAGTTTAGCGGTATTTTACAATTTTTCGAAATTGCGGATTCGAATTTCCCGTACTTCTTGCTAGAATCTTTGAGGAGTTACCAGATTGCATTGCAACAGCACTGTTTCAGATTATGGAATTTGTGTTGATGTATTAGCTTACGTTTTCATACCTAAACCGCTGGGATTAATAAGATCAGTACGAGTTTTTCGAAACATTTAGATATTACACATTGGTGTATTATAATTTAACGTAACAATTAGTGAGGCGAGAAAGTACGTGCTGTTGTAGCACCACTGTCATATTCTGTGCAGGAGTTGGAGCGCCCTTTAGCTGTGTTTATTGGGCCTCCGGAGAAGCAGGAAACCTCTTCTAGTGACGAAGAAAAGGTAAGAATTACAGGGTACATTCACAGTACCTATTTCGGCGCGAGCGTTTCTTTTCGTGTGGTTTCTGGTGTGTTCTCGCCAGTGATACATAGCGTGGATTTCTAAGACGAAGACTGAGCCGCGGTTTGCAAACTACCGGTTTGAAGCCACAGCTTGGGCCGTGTGCGAATCCGATTGATAAAACGATGTTTCAACGAAGTCTGGTGAGACCGCGGTCTCAAGCCGCGGGTCCGAAAAATCGGTTTGGCAACATTGCCTTGCGAATTGAGTGCGAACGGCGGTCGTCGTGTGTTCTATATACGCTGTTCTTGCTGCAGAAACTACTACAAACTTCGCGCCAAAGTAGTGGATGTACAGCTGATATCGAAGGTACTAATACGTATTGTATTAGTACGTATTGTGTACGAAGGTTTTAATGCGTATTGTATTTCCATTCTTACTTTGCATGATAATGTAATGAAGGACTTGAAATACAGTTTAATAAACTAATTACAAAGCTATGCCAAAGTTTCGTTCTATATAATTACAGATGGCTCGCTTTGAAAAACACGAAAGGGGGATTCTGGCAAAAATTTGCCAGAAATACCCAGTTTTGGCGCGGGAAGCGTATACAAGTGATGTGATTCGCGAGAAGAAACAAGCCTGGATTAAAATATGCGAAGAATTTAACGCGTCAAATCCAGGCAAACCTGCGCGTGAATGTGGACAACTTCAGAGTAAGTTTTTGTGACCAAATTCCATTTTTCGGAAATGTTTATTTTGTATAATTTCTAGTTCGTGAATGCGATTTTGCTGCACCACCCCAAGTGGGGCATGGAGAGTAGTATTTTGTCGTTGCACCAGTTTTTTTTTTTTTTTTTTTTTTTTTTTTTTTTTTTTTTTTTTTTTTTTTTTTTTTTTTAAGGGAAATATCTACTTTCAAATATCAGAACTAGCCAAAAATTTGATTCTGAGAGTAAACGCTTTAAAAATGAATATTGCATATTCATTAATGCAATGTCATTACTTGTTATTTTGTAACAATAACAAGTTTATCTTTTTATGTGGGGTGATTGGTCGGGTGGAATGAGTTGATTTCAATTAAAATTTTAAAAAGATACATTGAAAATGTTTGTATAATTGTTAAAATTAGTGTGATTTTAGATGTATACTCAACCTCATCTACTACAAACTAATTTCTCTGGAGGGCTATGATGTTTCCATCTAAGTTGATAATACAATTGTTTTTTCCATAAGATTTGAAAACTCTGAGATACTGATGCAGATGGATGGTAGTACATGTTAAAATTATCTGTCCTTTAAACAGTAGTGCAGTAAGAGATTTGCTAATTGGAACATAATAATTTGTTCTGCAATTTCCATTTGGAAATGGCTAATATTTGTTTGCAATTTGGTATGTTTTGCTTTTATAAAATTGTATTTTATGTGAATGTTTGTTCTTGTGTAGGCCTCTGGAAACGTTTGAAAGATGGAGCCAAAAAAGCCCTTGATGCTTCAAGGAATGAGGCCAGAGGCGCTGGAGGAGGTCCATCACAAACAAAATGTATGGATGCAGCGGAAGAAATTGTGGCAGGAATGCTAGGAGCATCATTTGAACCATTAGAAATGGCACACGATGATGATGCCTTTGTATTCCAGGTATTGCCATTTTTTATTGCACTGTTTTATTGCATCTGAATGACTTGTAGTATATTTTGAAACAAAAATGATTGTTTTTATTAGTTTTATTCCATTTGTAGGAAGGTCCTGAAGTACTACATATTCCCACAATTATTGATAATAATGGTGGGACTGTAAATGGCAGTTGGGAGTTAGATGTCATGGAAACAAATGATGCTCCTGGTTCTTCTGCCAAATTTTCTATGCCTGTAGCCCAGAAAAAGGCATCAAAAGTAAAAAAGTAAGGGGATAATTTATTGTTGAAATATTTGAAAGAATACTGTTCTGAATAGTAATTTCCTTACATTTTCAAAAAATAGTTGATGCATTTTGTTTAATTTATAAGCAATTATTTGTAGGTTTATTTGTTTGATTTTTTTAAAAATCTTTGATGAAAATTTGCCTTTCATGGGTATATACAATTAGAATCACATGATACAATATGAGGAGAATCATAAAAAGTAACCTCTAAACATGCTTCTGACATATAAGTAGTACTGTTGTTGTAGTATTAGTTTTCTACATATATTAGTCGTATTAATTTTTGGGTCATTATGATCTTTAAAATTGCTCAAAAGTTATAAATGAAAAATGACACATGAAAATGTTTACTATAAATAAAAGGATGCAGAGAGAGAATATAACTGTGGATGATATCAGAGATCATGTGAGTAACATTATTAAGTTCATGAAATATTTGATAATTTCTAATGAACCAAGGTGTATTTAATAATTTTAGGAAATATTTATTTTGTATAACCTCTAGATTGTGAATATGAGATTTTGCTGCCACCACCCCAAATGGGGCCTGCATAAGCTAATGCTGGGCGAATATGCAGAATCTAGAGAGAGGAGGGAATTATTATTCATAATATTTTATATTATTCATTATAATTTTAATATCTTGTCATAATTTTTATTTATTAGAGATAAAATCAGTGATTTCCAAGTTAGTCTTGTAATCTAAGGCAGGTAATTTAAGTTGGAATCCAAGGAATTGCTTTACAGTAGATAAGGGAATAAGTAGAGTTTCGTTTTAAAGAAAATATTCTTACTTGTGATTTTTGTTCTTTTTGTTCTTTATTTTCCAATTATTCCAAGCAACAATATTGAAATCATCTTTTAAATTATAATGTCAGAATATGAAGTAAATAAAGATGTATCACCTGCAGAGAATGCTATTTGTGAATTAATGAAAGGAGCTTTAAATTTAGATTTCAAGTCATTGATAAAAATCAAATTACTATATTTTAATTTTTTAAAATTATTTTTTCAGAAAAAACAATAATGAAGATGAACTATTAAAAATGGCAAAACTGGAGCACATGGCCAAAATGGAACAACATGCAGTAAAATTACGAACACTCAAAATAAAGAAAAAAACAGCCTTGCTAGAACTTAAAAAACAAAACCGTTATAATATTAAAAGCAATAAAAAACATTAATTTCTGTATTTCGTTTTTATTTATAAATAACTATGAAAAATGGGTTTGAATGAAGTGAGCTCTCTATCTAAGTCCCAAAACATTGTCTGCTTGATCTGGCACAGCTTCAATTTCCTCCTCTGCAATTTCATCATGAAATTCCTCTTCTTTTCTTTCAATTGCAATATTGTGTAGAATTGCTGTAGCTACTATGATTTTCAGACTTGTATGTAATTTTGTCTTTAGAGTATAGTGTTGACATGGAAAACATTTTTTCCAACTGCCAAATAAACTTTCAACAACATTCCTAGCTCTTTTGAGAGCTGCATTGTAACGTCTGTGCATTGCTTATCTCATTGAGCACAGGAGTTAATAGGTATGGTGCACATGGGTATCTACTATTGCCAATTAGGTGGCCAGAATACATGGTGGTCGGTGGAATTGTCGAGCCATGGCCTTGAAACTGCCAAACCCGCGTCTTATCAAGCGAAACTGGGTTTTCGAGCCTTGGCTCGAATAAACCGCGGCTCTGACCTCGTCTTAGAAATCCACCCATTGTGTTCTCATTATTGTAATTGCAGAAGAGATGATCACATGTAACGTTTCTAGATCATGTGACGTATGGACATCTAGAATAATCTGATACTATTTCTTTTTGTCGATTAACATCTTCGAAGATTTTAATATAGTTATTATTACGACTTATTATATACCTATTATTTTAAATAATTGAACACATTGATTTTCAGTATTAGCAGTATAGCTGCTGAACTATAGCTCTGAAGAAGGCCACAGCAAGGTGGCCGAAACGTCAGTCCAATTAACTGAGACGCGGCTCATCCCGGATAGCCAAGAATGCACATTTATTGTCAGTTTTACTTACATTTTACCTTGCATTAAAAATGTTTTAGACTGGCACATCTACAGTGCGTATTGCTCTTTAAAAAATTGGCCATGGCACCAATGACTTTAAGTGTTGAAGCGCCTTTATAATGGGACGGTCGCGACACATATTTGAGATTATTTAGTATAGCATTGGGCACGAAAGCAAGGGAGTCTGGAAAACATTTTTCTCTGCCTGTGCGGTTTTAGAATGCAAAACAGGCCAATAAAAGTCTGCATTCTACATGCATAGACAGAAATCAAAGAGGAACTAAAACTTAACAACTTTAAGATTGTTAGTGTTGGAAATATAAAAGAAGGCTAAGGTGAACAGTGAGGTTAAAACTTCCTTTACCCCTGTTCATGATAACATTTGAAAATTCTGAAGAATTTTGAAAATAGATTTTCCCTGTGTCACATGAAGGTCACAATTGAAGCTCAGAGAAGCAGCAACCTCATACCACAATGCAAGAAGTGTCAGAGTTTTGAACACACCCAGAAATTCTGCCAGTGCAAACCTGCCTGCATAAAGTGCGCGGGCACTCATAAAACGATCGATTGCAAAAAGAAATGGAGCGATCCTCCTCTATGTGTAAATTGCAATAAAGATCACCCCATGAACTATAGAGGATGTATAGTTGTTAAAGAACTACAAAATAAAGTCTAATAACAACAAATCGTCCCAAGCTACGAATAACAAAAGTCTCCACTTCTAAAACTGTCGTTGGAGGTAGAACTGCCAAAACAGGTGATGTACTACAATCAGATAGAAATAAAGATACTTAACGTAACCTGAACAAATTACAATTATGGACATGCCTTTAAATATGTACATGATAACCTGACAACATACCGAGAAAAGTTTTATTGCTAATTTAACATGAACTTGACCGGCAACGCATGGTGGCGGGACATGGAGTGGCTGTAGCACATGGTTTATTCAATCAACCAGTTCTCATTCATTTGCGGCAAGGGCCTTAGCCCGATTCACACTCGACGCTGGATGGCACGTGCTCCAGCCACTCCATATGGTGTTGGGTGTGGAGGCTTGAAATGAGACGTTACCTGTATGATTATTAGTAAGGTGTGTACGTCCTATATTTTGGTGTTTTATTGATCTTAGTTCATAATTTTAATTTTTTGGTTTTATTTGTTTCAAGGATTTAATAATCAATTTATTGTAATGTATGTTGTCCTCATGGACTGTACACTTTATACTTTAGCCCTGATGAAGAAATTAAATTTTTCGAAACGTTGGCGTAACTAATTGTTTCTCTAACCACATTGACCAATCTCGTGAACCGATTTTAATTCTTTATTCATCAGTGGTCGTGATTCTACAATGGTATTAAATATAGACAGTTGTACTGGATCTTGGGACGTGCTGCTCAACTGTTCATACCAAACAAAATGTTAATTTACAACCAAATCCTGAAACCGATTTGGCTTTATGGTGTTCAGCTCTGGGGTTGCACCGAAGAGAGCAATATAAAAACAATACAGACCTTTCAGAACAAAGTACCGTGAAACATGGTAAATGCTCCGTGGTATATTAAAAATCGGAATCTACATCAAGATTTTGGAATTCCGTATGTGTCAAGTGAAATCAAAAGATTAGCTGCCAAACATGAAATACGATTGCACGAACACGTTAAATTAAAAACCATTCAACTTTTGTATAACCATAACCAGCTGGGAAGGTTAAAGAGGACGAAGCCCTTCGAATTAGTTTAATAGTCTTAACAAATGTAATTTGATAACGTAAATTAAATACATACTACACTATTGAGTGAACGTGTAAATATTGAAACTTATATTTAAGAATATATGTAAATTGATCTTTGGTTATTTGTGACCTGTTTCAATCCTTGAAGCCTCGGCGTAATTATAAATTTAAAAAAAATCCATAACTTTGTTCATATAAGTTCTTACAGTCTCTAGCTTTGGACATACCAATAAAAAGTAGTAGCTAATACAGTTTTACTCCTGTTCAAAAATTTCCAACCCCCCAATGCCCTTGTATATTACCTCAAAAGGTGATATGTACTGGTAATATAAATGTCCTCGCAATTTCAAAAAAATATAAATGCCGTAAAAATACTTGCAGGTATGAATGATGCTGAATGGTTAGAATTTAAAGTTACGTTTTTTTATGTTCACATAAAAATTCATCTCTAAGATTTTTCACGGTTTACATGACTGTGTATCCCCTTTTACGCCAGAGTAAATGGCTTTTGCTTAGCTATTTTCATAAAATTAATATTTTGTCTCCCTATTTTATGTAATGGTTCAACTTCTAGGCATTAGTTCTGAACTGTGCACGTTATAAATTATGTTATAGGTAGAGGAGATAGCAAAATTTCTAATTTTATTTTAGGATTTAAAATTACTAGAAGACAAAACCATATCTGACTATTTTGTGGTCATTTTCAAGTTTAGTTCTATGGAATCCATTAGGCCTATATATCTGTAATTTATTTTCGGAGTAAAAATGGAAATTTGTTTCCCTTGTTATCTGCGTCAACTGAATGATGACGTAGAATCTTGCGATGATAATTGGAGGTGCACTGATAGAAATTATTAAATTCCAACATAGATTCTTAGTTATGCAAAGTTACAGTTACTCTCCCAAATGAAATTAAAATTTTGAATCTCGTAATCTAACTTCTCGAGGATTTTATTAGTTGTTTTTTTCTGTAGGATCCTCTTGAATTCTGCTGCGGAAGTGCACCTATTGTTACAATAAAACAAGAGATCACGCCATGTTCCCCAGGTAAGTGTGTGATTGATATATATATATATATATATATATATATATATATATATAAATATAAATATAAATATAATAAAGTGAATGAAATAGAATTAGGACTCGTGAATTTTTTTATTTTTTGAACAGAAAACATAGAAATGTATGTTGTCAACTTACATTTCTATGTTTTCTGTTTAAAAAAATTTTAAGTCTCCTAATTCTATTTCATTCACTTTTCTTTAGTATTAATGACTTAACCCCCCCCCCCACTTTTTTCTTTCTTCCAGTTTCTAGAATGTTAAATATATTTTCCAAAAAAATCGTAAATTATTTGTAACCTTTATTATAATCTTGTAAAATCAAAGGAATATTCACGTTTTAATGTTTTGTTTTTTCTTCTTGTATCAGACAACTGATGATAATGGCTAAGCCATCGAAAGCTGCTCTTATATTAAATACTATTGTTGGCAATGATAACGTTTATAATTATTTCATTACGTAGTAGAGGGTGAGATAGGTAATGATGCAGGAAAAAAGGCGGATTTTCCGTAGAAAAAACTCATTGCCAGCCCTGATAACAAAAAAGTGAATAAATCCAGAAAAAACTTCCTCTAACACGTAGTGTAACCAAATTCCCTGTTTTGTGAATTCCTTGATACCGAAAAGTCAATTGACGCTAAAAAATCTGTCCGTCTGTGAACATCATTAACGTCAAAAACATTTTTTTTGTTCACTTTTTCGTTTTTCTAATGGTAAATCGAAAATATTACTTTAAGAATATCATTGAATAGTAAAACCTAGACCTATAAGGAAATTTTCGTTCTAACATTTTGTGCTTTTTTTTCTTCTTCAAGAAAATGGCGTTTAAGTGTCAATGTAAACGTGAAATTTGAAGCTTCCTTCATAGAAATATTTTTAGTTTTCCAAACACTTTATTCGAAGTAATTTGAAGCACTTCCACTCACAAATGCAGTAATGTATACAAATCGCTGGAAATGTGCATATCAAAAGCGTGAGTGATATTTTTTTAAAAAACACGAAGGTCATAAAGCAGATTTTTATATTTCCTTACATGTTTATATTATTATTAATAATATAAACATGTAATAATAATTATAAAATAATATTTTTGAAAAATATCTTTACAGTCATGTAGTATCCATTCTTCTCATTTACCAAGTTCCAACGATTGAGAAGGTTTAGAATTCCATCAAGTACTTATTCTTTGCTCTTTAGACGAAAGGTTCCGGTACCGGCTGCAGAAACCTCATCAAGGGATAAAAATGACGTTCTCGCAGAGGTTTTTCCAATTTTGGGAATTAGTCAAAGCCAAGTCAGACACGAGTCCACCGACTTATGTCTGGGCTGTGGAGTGTATATTGTAACACTTCCCAATTCATGAATCTTTCTTGTTCCGTCTTTGGCCATGAATGGGCGAGCGTTGTCGTGGAGAAATTGTGACCCAGAGAGGTCGGGTTTTGTGCATTTTCAGTATCAATCATTTGACATTATTCGAAATATGAACGTTATTGAAATTCCTGTGACTTCAGAGATTGTTTCAAAAGTTGCATTACGATCTTTTTCAATATCATGTGCCACAAATTTCACACTGATTCATATGTCGATGTGATGGGTCTTCTCGGTCTTGAGTCGTCTTTTTTTCTCACAAAACCTTCACGAAATCGTCTAGCCCAGCGGGAAGCCGTGCTACTGACCACTGTAAGCTCACTGTTCACTTCACTAAAAGCTTTTTGGATTTTAGTCGGGCTTTTACCCCGTACACTGTCGATCTTCATATGCGATCTTTGATCCTAAACACTCAACAGTACCTGAGACCTCTGCAGGATCAATTTCTAAGACCCGTTATTAAATAACGAAACAATATATTGATGAAACCGAGACACGTGATTGTTTGTCAAACTTTGAACTACAAGTGACGCAACAATCAGTAGTGTCCCGTTCTGTCGGCAGTGTTGCCAAACTGCATTATTTATGAAATGACATTGTACATTTGTGTAACTTTTTAAATTACTACAATACAGCAAAATTAATTTTGTCATCTTAAACAGTGCATTTCGCACCAGGAGACCCGGGTTCAAATCCCGATCGGAGTGACAATTCTGTGAACGAATTTAATTATTAAAATGTATTTGTTACGTAATAACAAGGTCACAACTAGGTTCTCTTTATGTCCGCAGAACATATTTCCGAGCGTAAACGCATCCAAAAAAGGTGAAAAAGTAGTGTCAATTAAATTAGAACTAGTGTTGTTACAGAATGGCACAGACTTTCTCTTACTAGTTAGTTTTCTAATTTCTTTGGTCTGGTATCTCTTTTCGGTCTTGCTCCATCCTCTTACCAGTTGTCAACTATTGCCGCCCAAAGTAATTTTTTTTAATTCTGAAGTTCTCCGTTTCCTAGTGGTAGAACTAAAATATTACTTAAAGAATGTTATAGAACAATAAAACCTTGACCTATAAGGATATTTCTGTTGAAAACTTTGTACCCGACTTTAAGAAAATATCGATTAATCGTTACTGTAAATGCGAAATTTGAAGCTTTTTCTCACAAAAAATCTTTTGAGGTATAGAAAAACGTAAAATGAAGTCATGAAGCACTCCCACTCACAAATACAATAATGTATACAAATCGATGGAAGAGTACGTATTAAAGGCTTGAGATAATAAAAAAATATTTTTTGAAAAAAGTAATGAATACACCAAAATTAATATTATGTCATCTTAATCATTGCATTTAGCAGCCCTGCAGAAAAAGATTGAACAAGAAAATTGGAGCCGTGTTTGAGAAAACGACCTATAAGCGTTTCTCAAAATGCGGAATTTGAAGCTCGTTTTCACTGAAAAATTATTTATTTGCATGACAACTGCATGAAACAATTTAAAGCGCATGTACTCGTAAAAGCAATAATGCAAACAAAATCCCGCTAATGTAAATATTAACGTCGCTAGTAAATATGACATTTTTGTAGTTTCTGAAAAACAAAAGAATAGAACAATTTTGCGTTTGTGTCATCTCAAAGAGTACATTATACCAAATCGGTATCACTATCTGTACCGAACGTTTAAGGAAAAAAATGAGCGGTTTTTGTGAAAATCTTCATCACATTCACCGGACGGACGTTTCTCCGTTAATCGATTTTTTGGTATCAGGGACCCACAAAACATGGATTCTGGCTATACACACTTTTTTCTAAATTTAGGAACTGGGTTTATCCACTTTTACTTTCCAGTATACGTTGGTAAATACAGAGTAATGTACGTGGTATGGGGAAAGTTATGCAATGATGCGGAAAATCTGTTTCGAGATTTCAACGGAAATACGTGTTGGGGGCCCCTAATACCTATTAATATACATTACCTCTTCCTTAGTTGAAGACTTACTAACAGGAAAAAAACCACCATTCCATTGTATGTCTATATATTTAATAGTTTTTCTGTTTAAAAGGCTTTTTTAATCTCTTTCGGAACAGTGCGCCCTTTCCCGTTCCGGGCTATTGCAGTCACTTTGCATGTGTGTGTCATCAAATATTTGATTGTTAAGCAGCGGATGTTTCATTTTGCTAGTCTGCATCATTTTTTCTCATACAAATGTTTTTTGTTGATAGGAGAAGGGAGTTTTCAATCAGAGGAGACCAACGCAATCCGGACGCAACAGAACCAAATTACAGACTTGGATTGCATTCGCAAGAGCTGCTTTGGCAACTACGACCAGATCGTGCATCTCGCGCACGCGCACCCAAATACGGATATCCGCATTAAAAAAAGTTCAAAGTGTTCCATCTGTGAGAAGACATTCATTCAGAGAGCAGACTTGGATAACCACATGCGCACTCACACTGGCGAAAAACCTTTTCAGTGTTCCATCTGCGGGAAGACATTCGCTATCAAATCAGGCTTGAATTATCACGTGCGCACCCACACTGACGTAAAACGTTTCCAGTGTTCCGTCTGTGAGAGAATGTTCTTTTGGAAAAGAGACTTGAACAAGCACATGCGCATCCACACTGGTGAAAAACCTTTCCAGTGTTCCATCTGTGAGAAGACCTTCATTCGGAAAGCAGACTTGGATAGGCACATGCGCACCCACACTGGTGAAAAATCTTTCCAGTGTTCCATCTGTGAGAAGACGTTCATTCACAAAGCAGACTTGGATAGGCATATGCGCACCCACACTGGTGAAAAACCTTTCCAGTGTTCCATCTGTGAGATGACTTTCAGTCAGAAAGGAACCTTGTCTCGTCACGTTCGCAGTCATATTGGTGAAAAATCTTTCCAGTGTTCCATATGTGAAAAGACGTTCATTCGGAAATCAGACTTGGATAGGCATATGCGCACCCACACTGGTGAAAAATATTTCCAGTGTTCCATCTGTAAGAAGACGTTAATTTTCAAATCAGACTTGGTTAGGCACATGCGCACCCACACTGGTGAAAAACCTTTCCAGTGTTCCATCTGTGAGAAGACTTTCAGTCAGAAAGCATCCGTATCTCGCCACGTTCGCAGTCACACTGGTGAAAAAACTTGTTAGTGTTCCATCTGATGGAAGAACTTCGCACGGAATGCAACCTTGGCTCTTCATATGCCCACTCACTGGCAAAAATCTTTTTCCGGTATTCCATCTCTGATTGTATCTTCACTGTATAAGAGATGATGCGTATTCACATGCACAACACTGGTCATAAATCATTCCAATATTCTATCATAGACCTTTTTTCAGAAAGGAACCTCAGTTTTTCATGTGCACACTCACACTGGTAAAACAATTTCAGTGTTCCATCAGCGTAATGACGCACTTAAAAAAGGATCTATGTGGATTTTCCTTCAAGGACATAGATGTGCCCTGAGATTAATTGTGATGTGCATAATAGCTGAGCCAACGTAGTAAATAGATAGCGGGGAATCTGACCCAAGGTTAGTTTACATAAAATGTGTTTAAGCAATTACAGTAATTAACGAAATGAGTGTACAAATAGTATAATAACTTGCGCGGTATGTTGAAGAAAACAAGCGACGATAGGAGCGAGTTTTCTTATTTGCCATGAGTCCAACTATACCCCTTTAACCACGTGTTTCGTTCAATATTTTTTCGTTTCATTAAAGAATAGTTTTAATGTTGAGAAACTCAATCATGTCTTGACTCTTTGAAGTCTGCATTTGATGACGTCATATTGGATCTAAACAAGACCCTTTTTAGATTGTATATTTGTATATTTATGATCACCTAAGTGTCTTACAGATTAATGTATGAAATAAGTCATGGGAAACGTTTGAAAATGGAAAATGTTTAACGTTTACGAGCTATTAGCAGAAGCTGGCAAAGCCATGAAAACATCACTTCGTACGAAAAGTAAGGGCATGTATGAGGGAACAACACGTGTTAATGTTGGAAAGGAGAAAGACGATTCGGCTACGGCAGTGGATAATCCACTATAACGTAAAGAGTAAATATTGGCGCTCTTTCGACAACTGAACGCCTTCGATTTTTACAATGCAACAAATATGTTTATTATAAAGTAAACTAATTAAACCAAGTATTATAAACTTTTGTTACGTGGATAAGTTGTATAAAATGAATATTAAATATTGTTGATTAAATAATGTTAATAGTTTTAATAGGATGCGAAAGTACATAGGCACCATTTTGCATCCGTGGATCTCGAAATTGTGAAGTATCCCAACCTTCACCCAACCAAGTCCATTACAGGGATGTTATTGCCGTGTAACCACTCCGCCACAGGCCGTGTAGTTTGTAGTGCCACACAAAGCAACTGGTGCTACAAAATGGCACAGACTTTCCCGTATTAGTTTTCTATATCCTTCCGTCTCAGCTAGCTATTCGGACTTGCTACAAACTCTTTCAAGCTGCCATATATGCCTATTCCAGAGCCAAAGTACATTTTTTTGTAACTTTTCTTAATTTTTCGATTTCCTAATAGAACGGAAATATTTTAAGATTATTAAAGAACTGTAAAACCTCGTCCTAAATGGCATTTTTCTTTGAAACATTTCGAGTCGTTTTTATGAAAATGGCATTTAAGCGCAACTAAATTTGAAATTTGAATCTTTTTTTCACAGATCGAATACAATAGTGTTAACAAATTGCTGGATATGATCTAAGCTGTCCGGTCAAATTGTTGGATATGTGCATACTGATAACGTAAGAGATCTTCCAAAAAATTACATTTGCATAATTTTAGAAAAAACAAAAAATGAACTTTTCGTCATATTAAACAGTTCAATTAGCACTATCCCATCGAAAAGTTTAAAGAAAAGATTTGGAGCCGTTTTTGAGAAAATGGCGTTTGAGCGTCTCTGAAATTGTGGAATTTTGAGCTAGTTTTGACAGAAAACGGTTGGGTTTTCGAGATGCTTTATGTGACATTATTTGAAGCACATAATACTCGTAAATATAATGTGAACAAATTACCGCTAATGTAAATATTAATGACGTGAGCAAGTCATAAAAATTACATTTTTGAATAAACAAAAAAATCGGGCAATATGGCGTTTATGTCACTTCATAAATGCATTTAGCACAATATCTACCAAAAGGTTAGAGAAAAATTTGAAGCCGTTTAATAAGAAAATCTTGTATTTGTAATTTTTAATTGCACGCAATATTGTGCGAAAACCACTAAAATTTTCGCAAAAATGAACCTGACCTTAATGAAAGAACAAACATTTGGACAACAATTTAATTTGAAGGAAAACCCTCTATCTTTAATTTTGAAATTAAGGGAAGGCCCCGAAAAAATTCAAAATTTTGAAAATTCAGAGTTAACCGTGTACTTTTGATCTATGCCACCTTTATATATGTATTTACCCTATTCTTACAAGAAAAAAATTGGAGCCGTTTTTGAAAAATAAATTGAAAATGTCCCAGGGGTATCATGTAAAGTACCCCCAAAAACTAATAATGATTTTCAACATCGCAGAGCTTAGGCTTAAGGCTAAATGCACCGAAAAGTACTTGTAGGAAAATTCAATAGATTCGCGCACTTATCACAGGGGGAATTTAACTTACTGAACGTCTGAAACCAATGTCGATTTCGATTTCGTACGGCGATTTGACGCTTTTAAAAATAGAATTTAGGCTGATTGACTTGTCCAAAAATCATACAAAACGCGAATTGAAATTAGTTACAAAAACTTCCGAGAATCGATGTTAAAAGTGGCCTTATATTCGCGAATGGCGACAGGCCTGTTCCTGAATCCAACGCGTGACAATCATGTATAAATTCGGACGAATTGGAGCGTCGTAAAGTGAAATATTTACGAGAAACACCGTGCTCTCCCTCCCCGACTTCCTCTTCTGCGCTCGTTGCGTCCCAGCCGCCGTTGTGGGCCCTTCTGTCAGCGGGTGGCAGGCAGTCCATGGGTCGTGCGGTCATCCCCGAAGAGGAGGCGGTAACTTGCGGGAACCATAGACACACTCGGTTTATGCGTCGTCCTTCTGCATCTCAATCCATTTTTCCACGGATAATCAAACTAAAATTTATACGTATTATAACTTGACCGAGTAAACGGTCTGTAATTAGTAGTACATTAATATCTTTTCCCATTCGTTTCGTTCGAATACCATCTTTAATTTGTTGATGCCATTACTCAAAATATTGATGTACAATTTAAAAATTATTTTAAAAAAGGAATAATTGTGTAAATATAGCAGTTATTCCCTCTCCTCGCATTTATTTTGGGATACTGATTTTCTTCTAAGTCTTTCTGTTATCAACTTCCACCTGGTCAATATCTTCCGTGTCAAATACCGAAAATATGAGCGGAGTATACCAGAGCTTCTTTTATCACAATCGTTTTTGATTTATTTGTGTTTATTTGTCGTTCTGTCTTAAATCGGCATTGTTGGTTTACAGTCCGTTGGTCTATTTTGGATGACTGGAAAATTATGATCTCCATTTCGTTGTTAGTTCTTCACTTCTGCTTTTTTCTTGTAATATACCTTTGTTCTTAATCTGTTCTTGGTGGGCTGGAATCCGTAGAGTTTTCTGACTTTCGTCTGGTATTTGCTTTTTGCAGAGAAATAGAATGTGAAAAGAAAGAAATATCAGGCTCCGTTGTTTTATTATTATTATTATTATTATTATTAATATTATAATAATAATAATAATAATATTAATAAAGGCAGCGTTTGGGAGTAAAAACCAAAGTATGTAACTATATATTGCTTATATTCGTACTATAATTCATCGAATCTTATTCGATGTGCTGTTCCAAGATTTTTTGAAATTTCTTTATATTCAACGGAGAAATTTGATTTCTCTGAAGGTCTGATTCAGTCTGTCGATTTGAAATATTGAGCAGGTTGTGCCTTCAATGTCATCGGCGGTTTGTCTTCATCGTACCTGCCGTCAAAGGCTAGAGCAGTGGACTAGGCACAAACAGCCTGGACTCGCGTAACAATGGCCGAAATGGTCGGGGGAGGGGACATCGGGATTCAAGTCTAATATGGCACGGGACAGTGGTTCGCACCGTTAGAGACTGGAGAATGCTCATACCGAATTACTGATCGGTCACGTCGGACTGTCCTACAGTTGTTCATTCGAGCACCTGTTTTTGTGCTGGGAGTGACTCGATCGCAAGGCGAGGAATGCGCTCAATGTATGATAAGCTGCCCAATCCCGCCTAATCTGCAACTATTGAGCTCTGTCCCAAGTTGATTACTGTGCCAAAGTATCCAAAGGCAAGAATTAAATAATACGAGAATGAAGGAAAACAATATGAGCATAAGTGGATGTCATTCAATGTGTAATTTGTATTTCACAATGTGTCCTTTTGCTTACTGGGATACTTAGGCTGCCACAGCTTCACATCCTTTTTTTAGAATTGATTCACAGTGAACAAATACTTCAGTAATAGTTTCTTCCAGAAAATTGCTGTTATTCAGGTGTGTTTGGAAGAAACGCCCGAATTTCTTTTCTGTGTCATATTCTTAATAACGAGTACGTATATTTTACTAGCTTAACTGTGTTATTTGTTTGGTCTTTACTACGAACGAGAAGCAGTACCTATTCCATACCAAAATCAAAAACAAAATAAAAGAATAGCTATGACATGCCTTGTGTTACAACAAGAAGCAAAACAAATTCATCAATCACTTGAGTTTATGTCTTCTCAGAACAAGAAACCTATATTAGATGAATGTGAATTGAACCTCATACAACTGTTGTTGAAGCAGATATACTATTCTCGATCTGCTCGCGGTAGGCGGCAAATTGCAAACACGTCAATATGCTGAATTACTTATAACTGTAATCCTTTCGGCGAATTTTATTTCATACCTCGTATGTAGACAACGACCGTAAATTTTAAATATTGTTTATTAAAGTTTGGCAATAATTATTTGTGCATGTAACTTGATTTTCTCACTAAATGCAAGAGAGATTATGTCAAGTTGCCTGCGTGTGCGAAAATGAGGCGTAAAAATGTACACTAGTGGTGAAGCTTTTCAGGTTTTCAAAGCGTAAAAGTATTGTTGAGACTCGTAACTGTGAAAGGGCTTTTAGATAGTACTATCTCAAGGACTAAGACTTCTATTATAGAGAGTATACTGCAATCGTAATTAATAGTCAAAAAATGGTAAGTGATTGATTGTTGGTAAACATTGTTCAATAAAAGTGCGAACACTCTTTCAGTGCAAAGAAAGTCGCAGAGACAACCACCATTTTCATAATTTACATTTTTCATGTGCACCAAAACAGCATTACTAACTTTTAGAATTACGTTCTGGTCAGTCCAAAAGCTTGTGTTATCTCTTTTTATCTGCCTGTTAGTCTGTACAACAGATTGTTGGAAGTATTGAAGTCTGTTCTAGGCGACTTCGATCTACATGTCACCTTTGATTTCGGTGCTTTAAATAAGTAAATAGAAATAATATAGAACAAAATTACATGGTAGATTAATCGGCTTACTTGCATACAAAGAACCAATGATTCAATAATTAATTGTTACTTTTTAGTTTGCGAGATAAAAACTTTCCCAATGTTAGCAGTAATTGCAGCTCGTGTCAAGAAAATATCTCCACCCTTGTGCGTAGTACATTTGATGAGCCTTCGCCGGAACAAGGCTAACACGAGTAATGCGCTCGTTCGCTGTGCTCGAGAGCGGAAGGAGTCCAAAGTCATCCTCGGAAACCGCCTCGCGCAGCGCAGCCGATGATAATTGTCGAGCAAGCTTCCCCGATTCCCTCACTTGCCTCGTTTCGCCGAGTGGAAAGACGGGAATGTTCTGTGTGTCTGTCGGTCTGTGTTTCTGCCGGTCTGTGTTTCTATCTGGTCTGTGTGCCTGTCTGTCGATCTGTGTGTCTGTCGGTCTGTGTGTCTGTTGGTCTGTGTTTCTATCTGGCCTGTGTGTGTGTGTGTGACTGTCGGTCTGGGTGCGCTGTCTGTCGGTCTGTATTTTTTTCGTATGAGAATGTGTCTGTCGTGGATGGAAATGTTCGGTAGGCTTATACTGGCACAAGAAATATTCAACAATTTGAGTTAACATTTATAACTTCCAGAATATCAATAAGTAGTAAATGTACGATAATTTTTCTACTGTTTTATTTAGTTCGGTTTTGATGTCTACATTT